GAAATAATCATGAGAATTCGACAGAAATTTCGACGGACATCTCGACCAACACCGACGTGTAAATCTCTTTTAATATTCTTTAACATATAATACGCGTATATATATATATATATATATATATGATAATTTTAATATTTCTAACAAATTAAAATTTTTAGAAAGTCAGAACCAAATTTTGCATCTCAAAAACTACAAAAAAATTACATTTGCTAGAAGTAAAAATTGGCATCTTTTTATTGACATCTTACTTTTATTGTCATTTAGAAAATTTTTAATTCTTCTTCTTTAGTCCACTATTTTATTTGTGTTTTTATCGTACGACAAATTTTTCAAGCATAAAGTTGATTGACTATAAAAGAATTGGCTATAGAGAGATTCGAAGATCTCTTTGTCCTGCACATATTTGTTGTACTACAAAAATGTAAGTAAAGTGCACGCTTAGATGTAAATTAAAACCAAAATAGTATTATTGATAAATTATAAAATTTACCGCATCTAATAATTGTTGCACACAGGAGCACAAGATATAAAGTTGCACTGAAGCACCTGATGTGTACATGGCAATCGAAATTGCTTCCCCGAACGTTGTGGATGTAACCTGAAAGAAAATGTATTAGTTATTAAATCATAATTAATACAATTTAGTAATTATTTTTAAATATTTTTTTTGTCTAAAATCAATTTCTAAAAAGGAGAGGAAAAGTAATTATTTAGATTAAGGCACATCCCGCCAATGATCTTAACTTCGATATATATTATCAATGTCATGGCTCTGAGTGACCTCCGACAGATTTTAGATAACGTTCTTCGTTAAAAAGTTATTAACAAAAAAATTCAATTATATAACATGAGAAATCCTTGCTTTAAAATATGTTCGCTATTCATGCACTGTAGGAGGGGTGAGAGTCGCTTCGGGTGAAAATCGTGCGCCCTTTTGTAGGGAGGAAAGGGGAGTGAGAGTTGAAAGTGAAAATCGTGTGCCCCTTTACAGGAGGGGGAAGGTATGAGAGTCGCTTCAGATGAAAATTATGCGCCCCTTTGCAGAGGCGGAGGGGAGCGAGGATCACTTCAGACGAAGTGCTAAAAGAAAATTATAATTTATGATAATTATAGTATTTATATGAGATATTGTATATATTTATTCTTGTACCCGAACAACTTTCACTCGAAGCGACTCTCACTCCCTCTCCCCCTGCAAAGAAACGCATGACTTTCACCTTCGACTCTCACCTCCCTACAGTGCACGAATAGCAAGCATATTTTAAAGCAGAGAATTCGTGTTACATAGTTGAACTTTCTTTCTTAATAATTTTTTAATGAAGGACGACCACTACCTAAACCTGTCGGAGGTCACTCAGAGCCATGACTTTGATAACATATGTCGAAGTCAAAGTCATCGGCGGGATATCCTTTAATCTAAACAATTACCGAAAGGAGGAAGGGAGGGAGGGAGGGAGAGAGAGAGAGTGAGAGAGAAGAGAGAGAGAAGAGGAGGAGAGAGGAGAGCAGAGAGGGGAGAGAGAGAGAGAGAGAGAGAGAGAGAGAGAGAAAGAAGAGAGAGAGAAAGAAGAGAGAGAGAAAGAAGAGAGAGATAAGAGAGGGGCAATTAGATAACAAATTATTACTCACGCTGCTAAACATGATTCCAATAAAGCAGAATCGAAAGACACTCATTACATACATTAAACTAAAGTTTAAAGACAGCAGTTCCTTTAGCAATAAAGTTAAGCTAAAAAAAATGTATATATAATTATAACGCCATGGAATAATATAAAGATAATTACACAAATTTCAGTATAAATCTTAAAAGCAAATATAAAATTTAATCAGATAAATAATTTAAATATATAAGACAAATAATTTAAATATATAAGAATATGTAGTAATAATTTGTCATAATTGTTATATTTTTGTATATTATATAATACAAAAATATGAAAAAACATAATAATTCATTACCCATACAGCAAGTAACGTTGAATCAATATCTCAGAAACATTGAATTACAACATTGCGAACATTGCAGTAACATCGCGAAATATAGATTCAATGTCGAAGAGATGTTGCAGAATCGTCTAATGTCCGTTGAATTGCAATGTTTATGAGTTGTTGCAATTCATGCGACAGTGTATTAATTAATTAAATTTTGTTATTAAAATAAGTATTGTTGATTGACATATTCCAGAACACACACAATTATTGAAAAATAATTTTTAAAAAAACGCTTTCTCATTTGGGAATTAATTTCCTTATTTTCCTAAGCGATCACCCATCCGAATCTGTACCTCCACATGGTATATTATATTTGACTTCTGCGATCGTACTGCGATCGGGAACTGCTACTTCGATGATCTATGAATACTGAATGTGGATGTATAATTGTAACGTGTAGCTATATGTACAAAGACCACGAGTTGACATCGTGCATCAGACAAACAAATAATATCACACGCACGAGTACTCTGCACGCGGTCGCTTCTCGCGTAAACATATAGATATCGTTAAATAGAAATGAGTTTCGTCAAATATCAATTTAAATGATTTAAATTTTCTGTTTACATGACATTCTGTTTTTGTTCATTTTTTACAAAATAAAATAGATATTGATACAATATATAATTTATTCAATGTTATTTCAATGTTGCAGCAACATTAATCAATGTGGAAAAACTAATAAAAATTCAATTAGTGATCTAATTTGTTCAATATTGTTTCAATATTGTTTGCAGCAACATTAACAATCAATATTGAAGAATCAATATAGATGTAACGCTGATAAAACATTGACACTTCAACATTCAACATTGCAATATCTCAGCAACATTCTTTCAACATTCTGTGCTGTATGAGATATGTATATGATGCAGGGTGTTGGATAATTAACGATAAAACTCTCACATAGAGGCAGAATGGATTAAACTGAAATGAAATATCCTTTATCATTTTTTGCAATAATTAACGAGTTATTAATTTATGAAAATGGTCAAAATTGCCCGTCCTAACGCCAAATACAAGCGCGCGGCAAGATAAGACCATCCAAAGAGACACACGTTCTTCATCGATAAGCACGTTGTTTACAAATGACATTGATATTAACGTGCCTAGCGATACAAGGCAAACGTACGCATATGTGTGAAGTTGTCCTCGTACTTTTCGAATTTTATAATTTTCTTAATTATGTTGTTGTGCTACGTTTGTTCCAATTTGTGCCGCATACCGCAACTCAATAACATAAATTTTTCACAAAAATAAAAATTCTTTTTTGCTAACTCTGCACTTTTTAAATTTTATAATTTTTTTGATGTACAAACGTAGCACAACACAGTACAGTAAAGAAAATTACACAATTCGAAAAATGCGGGACCAACTTCACACACATAACGCGTACCTCGTTGAACGGTCTTATCTCATCGCGCGTTTGTATTTAACGGTAAGCCGGGCAAATTTGTCTATTTTTAAATAACTCGTTAACTATTGCGAAAAATGCAAAATGGTAGAGAACTTTTCTTTTCAATTTTGCTCTTATGCAAAAGTTTAATTGTTAATTATCAAATTGTATATGCAGAATGTCCTGTAATTTTTAGCGAAGCGCTCTTTTGTAGATAGAGTGAACTAAATCGAAAAGTCTTTTTTGCAATTTTTGATGTAATTATCGATATTACTTTATGAAAATAATCCAGCCTACCGTCAAATGTAAGCGGGCAGCGAGATAAGATCGCCCAGTGAGGCGTGCTGGAATTTGCCGTTGCTAAACATGTTAATGCCAATGTCACTTACACAAATAACCTGCCTAGCAAACAGTAGCGATGGCAAACGCGCACCTTACTGGGAGGTCTTATCTCGTCACTTATTTATATTTAACGATAGGCCGGGCGAATTTGACTATTTTTATAAATCAGGGCTCGGCACGATTTGCACTTCTCGGTCGATTTTCGATTCGGCTCCATCTCTCGCTACTCCCCTCATCTCATTGTCCTGTGCGCTGTCCAAATGTCGCTCGACGCTTAGGAGCATATAAAAGTACAATTTCATGCAGCATCAAAACGCTAGTTCTCTCCACTCTGCATGACCCCCTACAAGCCGTTTTGCGGCTTGAAGTTTGGAGAGGTCCAACTGCAGCAGAAAGTAGTTAGCAGACGACGCAAACGTTTTGTTCATAGAATCGGACGAAACTAACCGTTTTAACTACTTTTCTAACCTTTTTAGCTACTAATATATAGCTAAATATTATTTGAGTAGTTTAAACTCGTTCTTAATTATCAGTTTTAGTTTAAGAAACTACTCCTGAATAGTCGCGGCAGCCATGTTGGAATCGTGACGTCAGAAGCGAGGAATAACACGTAAATTTATACTGCAAGCCATTTGTAAATAAAGACAATTTGGATAAATCTAAATGACGAGATTGCTTTCAAATACCTGTAAAAATAGGCAGAAATTGTTTTTTTCTCTCTTCATAGTCAGTAAATAGTCGTAAAAGACAGATAAAGTGAGCCTAATTTTGAACAGAAACACATGGTTTGAACAGCTGTTGAAATATACACTTTTACGTATCAAATTCCAAGATAATTATAATTCTTGCTCATTTTTAGGACTTTCATAAGTACGAGACACGTCACATTTTCACAATTAAGCAAATAATAACGAAATGGCATGCAGCACAACGACGTTTCGTCGTCAAAACTTACTTTCCCATGCCTATAAGTTCAGCCATTTATCGTGGCGAGACGCTGTAACACATACACAAATATGAGCCCATGTACATGTGCTCGCTTTCGGCGCGCCGAGAGCACATGGGCTTGTGTGTATAACTATCGATTTCGCCACATTTCACCAGGCCACTGACTGATTTTGAATTGCATGCTGACTATTCAAGAGCCTTAAGCAGGAATTAAATGTATAAAATATATTTTATATCAACAATTATAAATCCAGCGGCTAGCGATTTTTCGTTCCATGAAAAGGTAGCTTTAATAGCTGGCGTTTTGTCAATGGTTTCTTTGGAGGGTTTTCTTTGGAACGTACTACACAATAGGGGTAGCCGCTCAACTGTAATTTTCACGTTACGTGAAATTGCGCTTTAACGTTCATAGACATGAGGTTTATCCGCTTTAGGTGCTCACTTCATTCTATTTTTTTTCACTCATTACATAATTAAGAATAAAGCCATGCATAAGATTGAGCATTTATGCATCATTCTATGCTTCATTCTATCTCAGTTATGTAATGAGCGAAAAAAAAATACAATAAAATTTACAGCGCCTAAAGCGGATGGACCTCATGTCTGTGAGCGTTATATATTCCTAAGCGGCATTTGGACTGTGCGCGAGGCATTGAGGTATTGAGAAAAGTAAGACGGAACCGAATCTAAAAAACGGCCAAGAAATGCAAATCGTGTCGAGCTCTGTCATAAATTAATAACTCGTTAACTTAATGCGAAAAATGCAAAATGGTAGAGGACTTTTCTTCTCAATTTAATCCATTCTGCTTTTATATGAGAGTTTTATCATTAATTATCAAGTACCCTATATATACAATGTATTATATATTACAGGATGATTTTAATCGCCCAAAGCGGATATCTCAGAAACTAAAAGAGAAAAAGTTTCATATAAAAGTTGTAGGTTTTCTTAAAAAAAAAAGAAGGTGGAAAGAACAGTTTGTACAATATATGAGGCATTACCAAGATCAGGTTAAGGTCAGGTAAGGTCAACATGAATTTTTTAAATAGAAGAACTACTACTATGTTTTACTGCATATTCTTGTAGTTGAAGTCGAAACGTATTCGAAACGCTATAAAGTATATTTTATATTAAACAATTTTCGAATTATAAAACTTGACACTTATACTGTACTGCTAACGACGTTACCTAAGGTGTACTACGAGGTTACTCAGTAGGATTTAATCTGTTGTGTGTGCGTATATGTATTGAGTGACTATATAGTATACAATCACTGCAGAATATACAAGTATAACTCTTAGGCAGGTGTTCATAGTCGTTCTTATATTCAAGACTGTTTTAAATACAGTCTTAAGATATCTTCTAGATTCATAGTCGAAAAATAAGGTACTTGAATAAAATCAAGTTAAAACTTATCGAAGACGATCTTATTTCAAAACGTCTTGAACAGTCTTAACATGATTCATAAACAAATCTTGTTCAAAATAAGCATAGACTTAAGGCTACTTTTTAGTTATTCATAGTCATTGTAAGACGATTTATTTGACATACATGTATATATTAGGTGTTGGAATTAATTCGTAGCGTTTTTAAATGAAAGAATGTTATTTATTTCACATGAGCATTAAAAAATACATTAATGAAAGTACTTCCCATCACTTGTAAAACGCTACGAATTAATTCCAACACCTAATATAATAAAATAAGACGGTCTTCGCCAAGGCGTGTTCGAGGTGGACTTAAGCAAAAATTAAAAATATTAAGAAGACCTCGTTCACCTGAAATTTTCATAAAAATACATTGAATAAATGCGTTTTCGCGTAAAAATAAATATTTGATAATTAAATTGATTAAATTGAGATGAAAAAATGTCACTTTGTCCCGCGAACCAAGATATTAAACATCAAAGTTGACGACTATTAAGGTTAGGAAATCTGTCATACTTAAATGTATGATCATGCGTTGTAATCACGTGTGTAGGCAGACAAGATATTTCTCTATTGCCGATTCTTATTTGATGATACGAGTATTAAAAAATTGTATATATTCAATAAAATAATTAAATAAAGATGTTTGTTGGCTCGTTGTTCAAAAATTTGTTGGTAATGCAAACTTATGGCCAAACTTCACACGGGAAATATTTTGACCGAGATTTAACCGATCATAAACGAATATGATTCTTATAAATTTTGCCTATATAAATTGCCTACATAAATACAACATCAGAAGATTTTTTTATATGGCATTTTATGTTTTACATTAAAACAAGCACATATAAAAAATCAGAAACACGAGATCATGATAGATTTACTTATATTTAAATCGTTAGGTAATTATTATTCATTTTAATTAACAAATTTAATAATATTGTATAAAACGTTTGTTACTTTTTTCAAAATTTAGGAATTTGGACAACGGCGAAATCGCGTTTATAATTACAGCATGTATTTTAAAGAAATGCTGAATTTAAACTTTAATTCATATCAAAAAAAATTAAAAAAGTATTAATTTTAAATAACTTAAGCTTCTCTGCTTTAAAACAAATCTGCTTTAAAAACACAAATTTACTGCTTTAAAAATACAAATTATTTTTTTATATTATTTTCAAAGTAGTATTTTAAAAGCAATAAACCACTGCTGTGACAGATTTCCTAACCTAAATAGTCGTCAATTTTAATGATATATTTCGGTTCGCGGAGCAGCGCGACACCTTTTTCTTGTCAAATATTTATTTTTACGCGAAAATACATTGATTGATCAATGTATTTTTATCAAAATTTGAGATGAACGGGATCTTCTTAACATTAATTACCACCTGCAGTACTCCAGGAAAAATACAGACAAGACGGACAAGACAGATCTGTAAAATCCGTTCTTCAACTCTGATAGAAAAATTTTATTGAAATTAATCCTCATTTTGGAACAGCATTTCAGAAAAAATTCAATTTAATTTCAGCGATTTTTTGTTGACAAATTTATTTTTAGCAAAATTTTAATAAAATTTTAAAGAAATTTTAAGAAAAGTTTCTGAAAAGTTTCTACAGAAGTTCAGAGAAATTTCAATTCAATTTCAACGAGTTTTTAGTATGTCAGATGAAAAATTAACTTTCAGTGAAATTTCAATAATTTTTCAATCAACAATTTTGTTAAAATGTTCCAAACATGGAATAATTTCAGTGAAATTTTTTCACCAGGGAACGCACTTCAAGTCGGAATCCATAATCACAATCAAAAGATAATCTAATAACACATTTCATACTTCTCAAATGCAGTGTTTCTATTGGAGAATCTAATCGAAATATTACGAATATCAAATAAGTTTAACTTTAAGACCATTTTCGTCAAGACGACCTTAAATCAAATAAGAATTTCTTAAAAAAAACTTCTTCTCGAAGGTCATTTTATTTTGTGACTATGAATTACGATTTCAAAACAATTGAATAAGACAGTCTTGACCAAGACGACTTTAAGTGCTGCCTTAAGTTTTGACTATGAATACGGGCCTTAGGATTAATAGATTCCAAACGAAAATAAAATAAATCATAAATATGTCTTCTTTTGCTTTTGTCTCTTTCTTGATATATGTATCTATCTTTTAATAAAACTGCGCCTGATCATTGTACGAAATGATACGCCGCATTATCGCGGTGCACAGCCACGAATAGAAGAGAAGCGTTAAATCCAAAGTGAGGGACAAACAGGCGAGAAGTAAAGGAATTTGGGACACGCGGTGCCCGAGTTGGAAGGCGTATATGTTCGTATGGCATGTGTGAAAGAGAGGAAAAGTTACGCTTTTCAATCGACTGTTTGGGATATTGTATTGAGAAACAAAGGAACTTACGTAAATCACGCTAAACGTAAGAAGCAAGAGGATTCATGTTAATCAAGCACCCCAAAGGGTTGAAATTCTCGTTATGTCGTTCATCCTGGATAATACGGGAAAACGCATGTCAGTCAATCCAGTTGATCTGGAACCAGTTGATCATTAAACATAATCAGTCCATGTAATGAATTGAAATAAGAACAGGGTATATGTAATTTTGTAATTTTGACTTCCCTTCCTTTCCTCCGTGCAGTACATACGTATGCACATACGCACACAAAACAGATTAAATCCGATTGAGTAACCTCTGCGTGGTACACCACGTTACCTCGGGTAATGCTAATGTCAGCAGTACAGTGACTATCAAATTGTACTTGACTGTCAACTTAAAAAGTGCTTCAGGGAGAAATACTTTATTAGTATTTGAAAACGTTTCGACTTCACCTACAAAAATATGCAATAAAAATAGTAGTTCCTATTTAAAAAATTCTTATTTAAAAAAGTTAATCTTGACTTGACCTTGATAATGCCTCATATACAAAAACTGTAATTTCCATCTTTTTTCCCAAGAAAACCTACACTTTTATATAAAACTTTTTCCTTTATCTCTCTTAGTTTCTGAAATCCGCCCCATTAAAATGATCCTTGCATACATATACAATATAATCAAATATATTATATTTCTTCATACTTTTTTCTTGTCACAGGAATTGATAGAAGATATTATATACTTAAATAAACTCTGAAATACTCACTATATCACATCATTATGATGTTGACATAGTGCTTTAATTTCTTTTTCTTTTTTCCAATAACGCTCAGGAGAATGTCCTGTTCGAAATTTTTCTTCATTTTTTTCCTGAAGTACCATCGCGATTTTCATCGCTATATATCGATACTGCGCTGTTACCATCAAGACTAAATGCATCATGTATACCTCCACACTGACTTTTTTAACAAACATATATATCATGCAGATCAGTATGAATAGATCTCCTAGTAAAAAGATTCTGAACGAGAATGGCTGTTTGGAGAAAGCAGCAGGCATTCTGTAATCCTCATAACAAAACAGATTCTTCTCGAATATTAATACAAAATGCATAGAGCTCCATCCTATTATCGCCACCACGCCAGAAAACAAGTAAAAATTGAGTGGAATCTTTATCGGTTTTAAAGTCGCTATTACAACGTTCTTCATAGCTTCATCAGCAATATGCAGTATTTCATTCAACTTTCGGATTAATTTGTATGCCAAATTTTTACGAATGCAAATTCGTAGAACCGCAAAGAGTATTTCTATGAAGATTACAATGGTGAGAAGGCCATCCTTAAGAGCTTTCTCCATTGACACGTAGATGCACCCAGGTATCATTGCGATTATCAAAATGAACTCTAATATCCACACAAAAATGCTATATATTTTCCAAAAGGATGAAAAGGATGAGTCGCGGTTGATCATCGGTAAAAGATTGCCCGAGAGCAAATTTAACCGAACATTTAAGGAATTCACATTTTGAAAGTTCATCCTAACGTCAATCGTCGAATTGTGTGACTCTCCGTACCTTGTACTCACTTCGCTTCACGTCTTTCTCGTAATGTTATATCACACGCATATCTCATATTCCTTTTCAAGAAAACATGTGTATCTTTTTTGTCAGTATTCGGAAATAATGGCGTTGTCGATCTCCGCGACGTTCCATTATTCCTTTGAATTTCTACTTGATAACTGGATTTGTATTTATACACGTTGTCACATGACATGCAATATCGTAGTATGTACTTTTCATTACAATTTATAATGTTTTATCTTGTTATTAGTGTCAGAACTTCAATATCGTCAATGATATAGCATATTTCTGAATAAATAACAATATGAAGAAGTCCTCTGTCATCTTCAATTATTATGAACTGTAGAAATTGATAAATAAATGTCTCGATGTCAAGAAATAAAGGTATTCGAGGCAGGACAATCTTTAATATATCTGTTATAGGAAGAAGTATGGTATTCAGAGACCTTCCTCTTAATATATTTATATTCCACACTATTGTATTATACACAACGATGATTATCTTATAGTGCTTTCTTAATTACAAGCACGACTACACGTCGCAGAACTGAGTTGCAAAGAATTCACAATATACAGTGTTGTTTAACACGTACTTTATCTGAATCCTCTCTCATTTTCTATTATCACGACATGTAGAAGTTAATGAATAAATATCAAAATGTTAAAAGAAATTAAGACATTCGATGTACAGGACTGTAATCTTTACTACATCTATCATAGGTCAGAAGCTTTCTTTATAAGTATATCTGTTTCTACACAGTATTTTATACGATGGTTATCTTGAGGTGTTTTCTTTATAATTACAAGCACGCTTATACATCACAGAACTGTGAGTTGCGAATTCCTAGTATATAATGTTTAACGGTTTATAAATAAAAAGGACAAAATAATCTTCTGAGTTACTAAACATGTTAATGTTTTATGAAAATTAATGCAACATGTTCATAATACCTCAGATGGCACACAACGTCCATTAGACGTCTAAATCTTGTTTTTATTCAGTACGAACGTCTATGGACTTAATATGAATGTTTTTAAAACACATTATTTGACATATTAAGAATATTAACATTTGAATGCTTCAAAAATGTCCTTCTTATATGTTTGCATCCTTTTCGTTGTGGAATGGTTATAAAATAACACTTAATAGAAGCTTTGTAGTCACAGTGCGATCTAGAATAAAATTAAAATTGAAATGAAATCATAGTTTCAATGGATGTTTTTTTATAATACTGGTATCGAGAAATTGAAGTTACATTATGAAAAGTTAAATATCAATAGTGATTATGTTTAGAAATAACTTAAGAATCAAATTAATAAAATAAAAAAATAGTAAAGTTGTAAAACAATATTTTAAAGAGCATACACCACTACCAAGATATTGGTAGCGCATGATAAATAGATTTATTAATATCACAAGAACAATTCTACATCAAATATAAATGTTTCGATCTTAATTAGACCATCTTCAATATATATAAATAAATTATTTTGTATATATAAATAAATTATTTTGCCGAGACGCTATTTTCACAATTAGTTTCCAAATTGCTTTAATATGTATCGAATCTTGTCAGTTCCATTGAATTACGTGAAACGCTCGTTACATTATAGATTGTTTACAAATAAAAAAATTAATCCTTTAGGAGATCATATTACAAATAATATCAATTTTATGGAAAAGATTAGTTAGATTCTCAAACGCACAATTTCCAGATTCTAATATAAAAAAAAAAGTTTTTCCTTATTATATAAAATTGTTAAAAGAAATGTTATACATAATATTATACTACATACCTGCATCGAAACAAAAGCTATAGAATCAGATTTGGTGGAAAGAAAAGATTGTCTTAGTTATTGCTATCGATAACTCGATGTGCCCCCTACCCTGAGACCCTACTTATATACCTGAACGTCTCTGGAGAGCTAGAGAGAGTAATCTTGATGTTGCATAGGGGATATGAAATTGAGTATAGGGAAATATATCTCTGATAAGCGCTCTGTGTCACTTTATTTATTTAAGGAACCAGTTTGCTTTTTTATAAAAGTCATTTCGGAGATTAATCTTTTCTGAAAAGATGGCTCAGAGTCTTGAATATTCTCCCAATTTAAATTATTATATGTTCATGGTTTATTTAAGACACTATAGAAGAAGAATTAATTGGTTTCTTAATATCCACCTTATATTCATGTATCCAAGTTTTTAGTTTCCGTTTTGTTTGTCTTACATATGAGGAATTACAATCGAGACAGCTAATTTTGTATATAATATTACATTCTATTTACATTCTATTTCTATTTTATTTCTATTTTATCTAATTTATCTTTACCTAATTTTTTATGAATAGGTTCAAATTATTCATAGGTTTACTATATGCTAAATCAAGATTATTTTTATCAATATAGTTACCTAAAGATTAAAGGTTACCAACAGATTCATCAATGAAATTCATTTATGAATTTCCTGGTAACCTTTAATCTTCACCGTCACAAGGATCAGCCGATCTGACCAAAATAACGCGGCATCCTGTGTCCTCTCGACGCGGAGAATGGGCGTATCGGCGCTTATCACGATTTTTGAGCGATTTCTATTGTTGAATTTCTCAAAATATTATTATTTCTTTTTGCGAGGTTTTTTAGGATTTCATTATCGACGGTTCAGAGCTGTAGTTTGCTTGATAAAGCTTTGTCTCACCTCAAATGATAGCGAAAAAGAAGACGCCCATCGGAGGCACGAGGTCACTTAGGGAAGGAGTAGCACGCAGATGACGCTGCTTTGATTTGTTTTTAATAATGCTCTGATTGTGAATTTGTGATTTTATTATTCAATTCCTCCCAGGCAATTATTAAAAAGGGAGCGACTGTAGCGGTATGAAAGGATGGATCCACTCTTTACCATAAAACAAGCGAGAGACCTCGCTGTCGATGCCGTAAAGGAACCCTGGAAGACGATGTCCGGAGACTCTGAAATCGTCCAAAGGAGGAGTCCTTCAAATCCTAGAGGCACTCCACCCGAATAATACAGAGGAAAGTCTTGCGAGCAGCTGAAAAGGGTGCCAACTACAAGTCATATCACGCGCTCAAGAATAGACAGCACGCGACGCGATTCACAAGGGCTCGCGGAACTCGCGAAATGCTCGTGACCAATCAGGCGCGATATGGCTTATCACGTGGCCTACGGTGCCTGCGTTTCCCCAAAAGGGACCTCAGGTCCGGCACTTGTGCTGTGGCGAGTTTTGGTGCAGGACATGCGTCAAGACACAGGACCTCGCCAGCATTGAAATCGTATGTGTAGGAATCGAATAGCTATAGGAGGATTCCGTAGTGAGACGAGCGTAATGTAACATATTATAAAGCCACCGATTTCTAGATCGGAGGGATCGCAAGTATCCACAAGTATTTTGTTTAGTTTCATTCAGTTTGATATTTTAGTAAGTGACTGCGTCACCTTAGCGAGCGCGCAAAGCGTGATCATGCCATCCTACCCGATGTCGTACAGATTCCGTTAATTACGAGTCAGCTATTTACACTCGCGCCGTGGCCACAGCTAGATTATTTTATATCGTTGCGTTATATTTTTGTATCGCTTCTTACTATCGAGATTGTGTTAAATTTCGAATAATATTCTTGCATATTCTAAACTCGCCATGTTCCGTCGTAACAGTTCTCGTTATTCTCGTGGTCGAGCTCAAGATCGGATTTGTTTACGTGTTAAGCACGGATAACCGCCACTGCGACTGTCATATCCTAATTACCTTCTCTAATTACGATATTAATCGTTCGTAGAGTTATTCTAAAATTTGAAGCTCGTCGAGATAGAAAATCCCTATATCTAATATTGCGTGTTAAGAATATCGTTTGGAGGGGCAATCACACCCTTCCCCCTATTAACGCTTTGTATAATGTATGATTGTTAATTTATCAACCAGCGTACGGAATATTGCAAACTAGTGAGAGCAAATATATATTATCATTTCTTGTTACGAATCCCGTATATTTTATTGCTGCATTGCCCTTCTCCAAGATATCCACCGTTCCCAACCATGAACCGCCCCTTCTACTGTGGCTGAGCAATCGGTTATCAGAACTAAGAGCGTCCGCGATTACGTAGAGATGTGTATTTTGAAACCAAAAAGAATCTAAAATCCGGGCAAGTGAGAATCAGCGTGATAATTAGTAAGCATAAAGTAATTTTTTTCTTTATTCCAAAATATAGTACGTTTCGGCACACTTTTTTTTGTCATCCTCAGCAATTACAAAAATCAAAATTTAATTCCTTGTGTGTCTAAGGAAAATCATCATATTTACAGATGCGACGTTATACAACCTATTAAAAAATTAATGTATTTCATAATCAAATCAAACAAACCAAATTAAAAAATTTTATTATAAAAAACAGTGACTCGTTCAGAACAAGAAAGGAATTCATCTAAACATTAGATAAAAAAAATAGTTTAACAATTTAAATTTCTTAAAACTAATGAAAATCTAATTAGACTAAATCTAAATCTTGTTAGACGCATGTTAATCATAGCTCGAAAGAAATAAGACTGTTACATTATATGTAATAAGTAAAACATGTCAGTCAACAAAGAAAATATAAAAGGAAGAAAAGACAATGTCAATACATAAACAAAAGATCAAATAAGTCAAAAAGATAAAACTATTTGATGTCTTCTAATAATCGAATATAAGTGTGATGTAAACTCTCCATATCTGAACATAAATTGAAACTATTTTGTAACATGCCAATATGGAGGTACTCATATGGAGGAAATCATATTATTCATTTATTAAGAAACCGTTCTTCATCCGGTATTGTGACATTCTCTCAATCAAAGTCATGTTGATATTCAATACGGTGTTTTGTGATCACCGATTGAATATTACGATTAATATGATTTCAATATTTAGCAATCTAATTTTAAGTTTTCTTCCTGTCTGTCCAACATATGAA